TAATTATTTTGGACAACCAATTAAAAAAAATTGTGATGTGATATATTTTTTCTTCTCCATGTATTTTTGAAAATATAGCAAAAAAAATGAAAGGGTCCCAATAATGGTGAATAGGATTGTACACATGTATAAGTTAATCACATTGAAGGGGTATTTATTATGTAGTAGCCTTGATTGCAGTTGTTAACACTGAACTCCTAGCATATCTGTGGCTATCTTGAGTTGTTGGTATCGTGTTTCAGTTGGTAGATGTCTTCAATGTGGCTAGCTAAAATGGGTGAAGGACTGGAAAATGCCCATGGTAGCTCAAATGAGCTTTCTGTTGTTGAGTCAAATTGATCAAGGTTTATATACATTTGACTGGCTTGAAAATTAACCTTTGGTTAAAGCTCTGTGAACCTTTTCTGATTGGTCAGAAAATATTTTTATTACTTTTTTGTCTGGGATCGCCTGGAACCAGCCTAAAATTTAGCCAGTTTGTGTCATTTCAAACTGCTGAGGCGAGCACTTGTATTTTTGCCAAAGAGTCAGATTTCCAACAAGCTCCAACAGACTTATCTCACATGAGATGTTTCATGAGCAAAGTTTGGCTTTTAATAAAGTTAAATAACCAATATCCTCCTCTTAATTTGTTTTGACACTTCTGTTATTGATGTTAGTTCTTAAATCACCCAGACCTGATTACAGAAATAAGACCTGTAACAATTTTATGGGACTTTACAATACACACAGAGAGAACAATCAAAGTTAATCACTAAGATATCATGATCAAAGATGACAAAAACAGAATGTGCTTTCTTACTGACATGGCAGTCCTTGCAGATTGTAATGTCTTTGAAGATCTTTAAAAAAACTATCAAAATACAAGGATCTTGAAGTGGAAACCTCAAAAATGTGGCACATGAGGACTTCAAAAATTCCAGTTGTAATTGACTTCCTAGGATTGACTCATTGAAGGGTTTTCTCATAGCCCCTGCCTTTAAGAAATATTAAAATATTGTATTCACAAGTACAGCTCATGCATTACGAAGAGCTTTATTTATCTAAAATGTGTGGGATTCTAATTTTTTTGCCATTATGAAGCTTGGTGCAGAATGTTGGTTTTGACATTCAAAATGAATGAACACTGAGCAAACATTGTTTTAGACGGTTTATTTTCTTTTTATGAATACAAATTATATCCTTTTCATGTAAATGAGTTTGTAGCTTCCAATATGTTGAAATAGAGAGAATGAGAGATCTTCTTTTTAATTGAAGTTAATTGTCTTTACTTTTTATCTTAAATGAGTGGATCAGCATGTCCCATTTTCTGAAAAGGTAGAGAGAACTGACCTCAAAGCCCTTTTTATTCAGGGATCATATTTAAGTTGATGAGTGTAGTAAGTGTGTGTAGAATTTTTCTTTTGCTTTGCTGCAGGGTCATTGATCTTTTGTTTTGCTTATCCAAGTATCTGGCTCCAGAAACATTAGTTGATTAACCAGTCCTTTAAAATGTGGTTAATAGTTAGATGATATGTTTCAGAACATTTAAGAAATATTATTTTACTTGTTAAAGTTCTAATTGCTGCACACTTTAACTGAACTCTTGGAATAAATGTTTTCAAAAGTTTTTAGAGGTCAAGCTCTTTTGAAATATGAGCTGAATATATTTATGAAAAATGTTAGAAGTTTTATTCTTTCAAATTCTTTTTGAGAAATAATAAGATTCATTCTTTGCAAATGCTACTTGAATTCATTCCTTATGCTTATAATTTTTGTTATCACAACATTTTGGCTGTTACATTCTACAGCTTTTTTTTCGAAAAACAATTGACAAGTTAGTTGATTTGTTTAACAGCATATCAGCTCATTATCAGTCAGTTCTGTGCCATGCATGATACACACATAGGCAATCATATATCTTTCAATACGTGACTGATGAGGCAGATTTTTTCCCGCAGTAAGTTGCCATTTCTTTCTGCGGTAGACCAGTTGCCATCCAAGGCTATAGACCCAGTCTGTCCTGCTATTTACCCATAGCTGGGTGGGGGAGAAGAAGAGGATTCATACTTTTCCCAAGGGTATTAGCACATAAGTGAATGTAATAGATTCAATTGGAATTTGAACTCAGCTCTCCAATTCCTCACTTCAAGCTGCTATCGATTACTCCACCATGCCTCTCAGCTCCTTGTAGGTCATTTAATGCTGAAATTTAATTTTCATGGGAGGTTGGAAGAAATAAAAATATGTTATTCTGCTTTCATAATTGAATACATGGTAGATGTTACTCAACTTTTCTGCATATACATGTTTGTGTGGACATAATTATTAGAGGTAGTAATATGTGTGTTTTTTTTTTAAGTTATATTTTGGAATACAGTTTGATTTAAGAAATTGTAGGATATTATATGGATTAATGTCATAGAAGTTCATGTTGATTGATTCTGTTGAATGGCATATCAACCCCCTTGGGTCATTTAATATCGATATCTAAATAATTTGAACACAATTTTATGGCTTCAACTAAATATATTTTGAACACAATTGTATGCCTTTGGCTACAGATAAAATGTATTGCTGGTCATGTATTATTAGTCTTTTTTATGTAAAAATGTATTGCTGGTAGTTTTACTATTATAATGTATTTTTACAGTTTCATAATGTTTTTGTTTAGGGGTCTCTCTATTTTCCTATAGCTAAGACCCTAGCAGGTGCTACTACCCCTGGTTGGGATAGACCTGGGAACAACAGCAATTAAGAGGTGGTTCCAGGCTCCTCAAAACCTTTAATCTCCAGATCAGAGGCCTTGCTGCCAGATGTAGTTTATCATCATACTCAGGACTTGACAGACACAAAAAGTGGTATCTAATATACCAAGTGAGATTTACAGTTTGATTTGTTAAAAGAGATACTTCAAATGGTTTTGACAAAGTCATAAGCCTTCTTCTATTATATAGACTTCAGGACATAGACAATCAAGGCTCTCCAAAACTTCCTATCTCATGTGGCTATTAATGTCTTTGTTAATGTCTCCCCTCCTATTCCACCATCCATTCATATATGCTTATCAGGTAAGTGATTTGCTGCCTTCAACTATCTGTCTTGCCTTCAATATGTTCTGTGAGGGTTAGGCTTTCCAAGCCCTCCTGCTTTCTTATGTATCCAAGGAAATTGAGCTGTTTTCTTGATTCTGAGTATAAGTGTTCTTTCTCTTACAATTTTCTTCACCATTTAAAATGATTTTGGCAAAATCATAATTAAGACTATTAAAGTAATTTTGACAAAATCATAATTAAGACATTTAAAATGATTTTGACAATATCATAATGAAAATGATTTTGTACCATATATTGTTAAAGTTTGCTTACTGTTGTTGCAACTGTATCTTGAGGATTTATGTCCTGCTAGTTAAATCTTGTATATAGATAAATTGGTGTAAATTTGCTAATAAGTTACTTACCTTATTCACAATTGTATATTTTTATATTTCTGATAAAACATGGAATCTGTATTGATTTATGAAAGAAATTTGTATCTTATTAACAAAAAATTACAATGAAGGAAAACAGTATATTAAAAATGTAAAAGAGTAATATGATTTAAATTATGAGAAGAACAGTAGCCTTTTTGGTTAATATCTCTGCCTTTTCCTGCAGATACATTAGCATTTATGTATTTCAAATTACTGAGCTATGTATATTTTTACTTATCTACCTAGTATTTTTTTTGGATATTGATAAAAATTAAAATCAATCAATCAATCAATCAAGTGAGTAAAGATAAATTATTGATAAAGCAGCTCATAGTTTTAAAAGAAAAGTAACCCAGAGTGTGATTCATAGTTTGTTTTTGTTTTTCAATTTGAAAAAAAAAAAACTTCATTGATCTTTTTAAAGATTAGCTTTTGGAAAAATCAATTGTTAAAAGCAAATTTTATGAGTACATGTATGTGCACATTTTTTATTGCTTCATACTGTGTGTATGCTGGTGCTCGTGACTTTTACAGTACACTTGAAACAAAAATTTACATTAATGCTGGAGAATTGATAAAGAAAGAGAACATGACACCATGGATATTTCCCAAGTTTAGAAATTTTGGATTTTAACCAGATTCTGATACCAATAAGAGGTATGGTAATAGTAATATTAGGTGGCACTCATTTATAAGGACGCCTTTCATTGACTGAGCAGCCAGTGCTACTTTCAGTTAAGAATTTATAGTTTGATTAAATTCAGCTACTAAGGTATTTTTTATGTTTTATTGTACTTTTCAAATTTTCAAATAAATTTTATATTGGGATTAAAATTGTGTTATATACACACATGCACACAAACACATAATATTGATAGATCTGTTTTCATACAGTCTTGCTCCCTTTAACCATTAGACATGACATCCCCATGGTATGTTTTAAACTTCCAACTCTCCATAAAATACAAGGATGTAATCAATGGTATCTTGCCTACCACTTGAACAGCAATTTGTTACTGATAATGCCTGAGATAGACATATGTACTTAAACAAAACAAACAAGTACATTGGACAATTTGAGAATTTCAATCCCAATGTATAAAATCTTATTAAAAAAACTGGAAAAAATACAATAAAAATTAAACAGACAGACCATATTGGTGGAATTTAATCAAACTCATTTGGATGAATACGCATTGTATTATATGAGTGGACACTGAGGTCAACACTATTTGGTGACAGTTTGTTTCATGCTTGAAATCCCTCTTGAGGTCATTTGTGTTAGATGCTAGCTCAACTACATATGCTGATCAATGGAGTGTTATGGGTAGCAAGGTCAGGCACTGCTGGTCTATTGTGTTATCCTAAGGGTTAATGGATAGATGGGAATGATAATATTGTAAGTTATTCTATTTCTTATGTAGAATTAATTATGGGCCAGGATGTTGCATAGATTAGATTTGTTAATTTTTAACTCCTTTATTTTTTCTCTCTTTTCTCCTTTATTTTTTCTCTCATTTCTCCTTTATTTTTCTCTCTTTTCTCCTTTATGTTTCTCTCTTTTCTCCTTTATGTTTCTCTCTTTTCTCCTTTATTTTTCTCTCTTTTCTCCTTTATGTTTCTCCTTAATTTTTCTCCCTTTCCCTTTTTCTCCTTTTTTTTTTCTCTTTTTCTCCTTTATGTTTCTCTCTTTCTCTTTATTTTTCTCTTTTCTCCTTTTATTTTCTCTCTTTTCTCCTTTATTTTCTCTCTTTTTTTTATTTTCTCTCTTAATTTTTCTCTCGTTTTCCCCTTTTTTCTTTTATTTTTTTCTTTTTATTTTCTCTCCTTTATGTTTCTTTTTTCTTTTATTTTTCTTTTCTCTCTTTTTTTTCTCCTTTATTTTTCTCTTTATTTTTCTCCTTTCTTTATTTTTCTATTTTTCTCTCATTTCTCCTTTTTTTTTCTCTCATTTCTCCTTTATTTTTCTCTCTTTTCTCCTTTATTTTTCTCTCTTTTCTCCTTTATGTTTTCTCTCTTTTCTCCTTTATTTTTCTCTCTTTTCTCCTTTATTTTCTCTCGTTTTCCCCCTCTTTTCTCCTTTATTTTTCTCTCTTTTCTCCTTTATTTTTTCTCTCATTTCTCCTTTATTTTTTCTCTCATTTCTCCTTTATTTTTTCTCTCTTTTCTCCTGTATTTTTTTATTTTCTTCTCATTTTCTCCTTCATTCTTTCACTCTCTCTCCTTTATTTTTCTCTCATCCTTCATTTTTTTTTTTCCATTTTTTTTATTTTTTCTCCTTTATTTTTTCTTTTTTTTTTTCTCCATCTTTTCTCCTTTATTTTTTCTTTACCTTTTCTTGGCCATTTTTTCATGTGATTTACAAAATGGTTTTTGTGACAGTTGTTTTTATTTCTTTCTTTTGATTAATTCCTTCTGGATTTGTCAACTCATTTTTTTTTGTTACTATAGCCAAATCTTAATAATTAAAAAATCTAGCGCACAAAGATTTCAGAGGCATGTCAGAAAGCCACACAAAAAAAGGATCAACATATATTTCAAAATGGCAGACTCCAGGAAAACAAACTGGCAAAAGTAAGATCTAAAATAAGATTTTAAATTTGTGGACACAGTACAAAACAGTTCATCAAGTATAAAAACAGAATTTTCAGTCATATTGCTGTTTATTCAATTACATTGAAAACTTTCAATTATATACCTGCTGAAAACAAATAAATAAAATACTTTGCAACAGGTCATAGTCAGTTAACTAAAAATGCCAAGTTGTATACACAAATCTATGCCAAGTGAGTTTTTTTTTACTCCAAAGGGAATCAAAGCAGCTAGAGTCAAAATGTTCCCCAGCAATTAAAACTATTTGCCACATTCTGTAAATCTGTAAACCAATATGCTAACTTTTTCTGCTAAACCATGAGTCATGATAATTTACTAAAATGTGTGAACTTTTTCTGTACTGAGTATATGTTCATTGTTATGAAAACATTCACAAAAGTCAAGTTACATACAAAAAGCTCTTCTGTAAAATTGTAAATTGCTGTTTCAAAATTTACAACAGTTATTGCAATTCAATTTATTATAACTGTGATTATTGACTAATTTGACTAATGACTAATTTGACTATTGTCTAATTGCAAACATTTCAAGACTTTCTTTTCTCATTTATATTTTGTGTCTTTTTCTCTTCATTCATTTTCATCTTCCTTTCTTACGTCACTTTTTCTTATCTTTATTTCTTTATCTCTTTGCTCTTTATCTTCTTCATTCTTTTCTTCTCTTATATTTTGTCTTCCATACTTTCTCATCTCACTCATTTCTTCCTTCCATTCTCCTCTCTCTCATTTTCTCTTCCTTTCTTTCTCTCCTCCTTCATTTTTGTCTTCCTTCCGTTCTCTACTCCCTCATTTTTTGTCTTCCTTCCTTTCTCTTCTCACTCTTTTTTTCTCCCTTCTTTTCTCCTCTCACTCATTTTTGTCTTCCTTCCTTTCTCCCCTTACTCGTTTTTGCCTTCTTTTCTTTCTCCTCTCGATCGTTTTTGCCTTCCTTACTTTCTCCCCTTACTCGTTTTTGCCTTTCTTACTTTCTCCCCTCACTCATTTTTGTCTTCCTTCCTTTCTCCACTTACTCGTTTTTGTCTTCTTTACTTTCTTCTTTCACTCATTTTCATTCTTCTTTCTTTCCTTCAGTTTCACCATCTTTCCTTTCTCCCCTTTTACTTGTTATCTTTACTTTTTTTACTTGTTTCTTTTCTTATTTCTTTTCTTTTCTCTTTCCATTTGTCATTTATTATTATTTTACCCAATGTTCTATTCAAAATTGTTTTTTACTTTCTAGGATTGTTCTCCTGTATTCAGTTTCTCATTATTTAGGACTTTCAACAGCAGCAACAATTAAAAGGTATAGCAAATGAAACATGTAGATCTTAATGAGGGCATAATTTCTTCAAACCTTTGGGACTGGTCCTACAGAATCACCAACAAAGGACTTTACCAAATAACAGAAACTTGAAGACTTTCAATAACAGAAACAACAAAAAAATGGATATTAAATGTAACACAAAGAGAAAATAATGACATAATCAAGATGTTGATGTTCGATACCACTTTGAACAAAATGTAAGAAAAGAAGCCTCCTTCAATACCAGAAAGAGCAGTAACTGATACTGGATTTGAGAAATCTATTTTCCTGAAAATATTTTTTAAGTGAAAGTTTTTATAAATTTCAGCCATAAGTAGCGCAGAGTGCTCAATCAATGAATGCCAAATGTTTCCTTACAAAGAAATGGCTAATACTGCCATTACCATTTTATAGCACTTTGGGTTTTAGCTTTTTTAAAAATTTTCTTGTCTATTTCTTCTACTGTTCATTGCAATTTTCTTTTATTTGTTTTTCTTGTGAATCGTAGCTATTTAAATTTTTATTACTTTTTTTAATCCTTCATGGCTTTTTACTCTTTCTTTTCATTTTTCATTTTTTTCTTTTTCATTTTCACCATTGCATTTCATTTCTTCTTCTTCTTCTTTCACTAATAACTGAAAATTTCTTCTTTCTTTCAAGAATTTTCTTCTTTCTTTCATACTATTTCTTTTTTTCACAGGTATCTTTTTCAGCTTTCCTTTCTCAACTTCAAACATCCAATTTTTTTCTTCATACCAAAATCTATCACATTTCGTTCTCTTCTTATTCTTTCTTTCATTCTTTTCTTTTTCCTTTCTATCTCTCACAAGTTTTTCATTCATAGCTCTCTCCACTTTATCATTTTTTTTCTTTTCTTCCTGTTTTTCACCTTTTCTTTCATCCTAGTTCTTTTTAAATTGCACTCTCCCTCTTTTTTTATATCTTAAAATCACTTCATTTTACACTTTCTCTTCCTTCTCATTCTTATTTCTTCTCTTTCTTTCAATCACAGGAAAACTACTTTTACGTACTCATTTTTCTATTTCACTCACCCAGTTCTTTCATTTTTTTTTTCTTTTGCTGTTTTTCTTTATTCACCTCCTATTTATTTTCCTCCTCAATTGTATTCAATATAATACAAGATGGTACGAAAATACTGCTTAAACAACCACGGAAAAAGTTGAATGGACAAATGAATGAATGTTCTGGCAGAGAGTTCAGACATATGTTTTATTCTATAACAAAAGGAAAGAGAAAATATCTTCAGAATAAAAATAAAAGTGCAAACATTACGACACACACACACACACACACACACACACACATAAAACCAAAGTTTTCTTCATTTTCCTTCAAAACACAACAGATGCCAAGAATATAGCCAACAAAAGGCTGTTTTTCATCCTTTGTTTGATTTTTTTCTTGCATTTTTCTGTAGTTAGATCAAACGAGTTCAAATGAATATAAATTTATTATCAATCATCTTCCACTGTAGATATCGATTTTATTTTAGTTTATACTTTTTGTGAAGGGAGGTAATTCAAAAGTATTGATGCAAAGCAGATGGGCAGACAATGTTAGTTTTGATCAATGAAAAGAGAATGGAAAAAAAAACAAGTATTTTTTGGTTATCAAATATTTACAACATAAAATAGAAGCATGACATCAGAACCATTTTTTTTATTAAAGAGATGTTAAAACTTGATAAAAATGGAAGGCAAACACTATTAGATATTATTTTTACATCTAAAATGAAACCAGAAATAAAATTTCTTTAAAGATCCCATCCATCCATTAATTTTAATTTCCTTTAATGCATGGATTGACTTCTATAGGAAAGTGGCACTCTATATGTATGTATGTATATATATATATATATATATATATATATATATATATATATATATATATATATATATATGTGTGTCTGTTTGTCTGACCAAAATATATATATATAGATATATATATAGATATATCCACTACAGTTCAAAAGTTTGAGGTAACCCCCTGGTAATTTTTTAAATTGGCCCCAAAAGTAATTGTTTTGTACTTCAAATAAGACAAAACTTATGGTTAAAAAAAGTAAGCCATAATTTTTTTTATTAGAAATTTTATTACAACAAACTGAAAAAAAAGCATTTATGATTAATTTTGCTCATTGCAAAGGTTTCTTAAAGTATATTTGGTTTGATTTAATGATTCTAAGATTTTTTTTTCATTTTTTTTCACAAGTTCATCCCAAATTTTTTGTGGCATTAAACTTTTTGAAAATCGTTTATATAAATATATATAGTATTATATATAATATATTCCATTCTTTTTTTAAAATATGATTCTTTGCTACAAAGAGTTCTCTTTTCATTTTTTTGTCTTCTTAAAAATCATCCCATCATGCACCTAATTTTTTTCTATTTTCTTCAAACCTTTGAACTTATTTTTATATATATATATATATATATATATATATATATATAGGAATAGATTTTGTATTTATTATTCTGATATATTTTAATTTATTGCTTAAACATTATTTTTAATGGATGCCCATATTTAAGTAGATGCTCTGTCATTTTTTTATTTAGCAAACAGTATATTTATTTATTTCCATCTACTGATCTGAATATTTAAAAGCACTATTGCTTGACCAGGCAGTACTTCATGGCCAAGAAGTGAATGCACATTAGATCTAATGACAGTTTTCCCTAGGGGAAACAGTTTACCCTGACGATCCGTGTAGGTGAAACCTAGGTAGGTTTACCTGGCTCTTTAGGTTTATATTAGGTTTGCTCTACTTAGTGTATTGAACACTTTATGTAGTTATTTTTACTCGTTTTGGAAGTTTTTTTTCTTTGGACTCTGAGCTCAAATTATGGATTGTTTTCGCCTCAATTTCATTTTCTTAGTTCTTTCTTTTTTTATTCCTCATTTTTCCTTGGGCATTGGTTTGTTCAATTACAAGCCGAAATACCTAAGGTTTTTTCAAAACAAGTACCACTATATATATATATATATATATATAAATAAATGATATATATAAATGAAGGTGGATGTAGTTATACCATAGTGGCTATCTTTGCAGAAATTAGATTTGGTATACCAAATTCAAATTCTTGCTAAGGTGATTGCATTCACATTCACACAAATACACTTGAAAATGTATAAATCCATTCCTTCTACCCTTTCCCCCAGCTAGAGCAGATTGGGTTCCTTGGCTTTGGTTGACTGCCAGTCTAGGACAACTCTGAATTGAAAACCTGTTTGGTTTGGGTTTAGCAATTCCACCCTATAAAAATTCTATTTGTTATAGAAATCACAGTAGCAACATTTAACATGGTGAATCTGTGGCCCTCTACTCCACAGTACTGTCTATTGGGTTAATATATATATATAAAAGTAACATGTTTTTGTGTATTTAAGCTACAATAGCAGCAGGAGACAAATTGGTTGTAGTGGATGTACATTATAGCAGATAATTGGCTGATACCTTTCAAATTTCATGTTTTCAAAAAGAAATCTACTTTTATTTTCCTTCACTCTTGCATAGAATCAAAGACTGTAATGAGTAAGTGTAGTTAAATAGTTTTGGAGAAGGCAAATATCAATATAATACTCTGCTGGTCAAAAGCTTAAAAATTCTCCTTCGCACAATGCAGTGAGCAAGAAAAAAAACAAACAACTGAAACAATGTTTGGGGCATTCTCATTATTTGTAAGTTAGTGATTGGTTGATTTGGAACTGAAATTTACATTAGTGTTATGATGTTGATTTGGGGTTAGTAGAGACAAACGCCAAATAACACGTAACAAATAAAAGGGTTTTAATAGGTTGGTAATTAGGTACAGAAATTGCCTGAGTAGTCAATAACTAGCTCGGCTAAGAACTGCTCTTTGTTCGCAGACAGGTTCATCTTCAAGAGGGGTGGTAGGTTTCCCACACAACGCATTACATTCTCTTTATAAAGTGAGAAGTCATGCAAGCTTTCCATTTTTGCTGACAGATAGTACACACAACATGTTGTCACTTGTTTTGACAAAGTAAGTCACCATTTTCTTCACTGTAAAAAGTGATCCTCCCCATTCAGTTAATAAATTGGTCTTTTCTTTGTTGAACTTGAACTCGGATAAATTTTTTGTAAAATTTCAACCTGACATGTATTTGCTTTTGCTCTATACCTTTTTATTTAACATATTTTTTTATTGTATGGACATCTCTTTTCTAGATATACCATTTCCAATAGATATTTCATGCTACTTTAATGTTATCCTGCTGATGTAATAAAGAAGCAAAATCTAACTATATTATATACGCCATCCCTTCAGGACATGGGTGATCATAGCTCTCCACAACTTCCTATCCTTTTTAGTTTTAAGCAATGTTTGTCTCCTAACTACCTCTCCCAGTCCTTGTTCTGTCATCCATTTAAACAAGCTCCTTTTGTACCTAACATCTCTGTTGCCTCAAGTTTTGTCCTTGTCTTTGAGGAAAATGTCCATGATTCACTGCTATATAGGAGGATTGATATCCAATGGCTGCTGAGCAATATTTCTAAGAGATTCTGCAGTTTTCTTTCGCTGTCTGATGTAGAAAAAGCAATCATATCCTAGAGATTTCAAACACTAAAGATTACCATATTGAGCTTAACATTAGACAAGATTAAATGAAACTGATGTACTTGGCAAAATATCACCAAATCAAATTATACTTATGTGATGTTAATCTTTTAATATTTCTTTCATGTCTGCATGAAAAATTAGCAAAGATCTGTAGAATATTTCAAATTTTAATTTCTGAAAAGAAGAAAGTTCTTATTTACACTATTTACACTGTTCGAACTGTTGTCCTCATCTTCATTGCCATATTCACAACTTCAGAATTTTGGAATTTCAAATTGAAGCCTTTCTTTCATCCACCAGTTATAGAGTGTTCTAGTTACACATGTCATGCCTCTTCTGGAAACAACGGGTGCAGTTTGGAATTCCAAAAACCTGAAGAAACCTAGAGTGTACAACAGCCAAAATGTTGTGAATGTGGCAATGAAGATGAGAACAAGAAATCGAACAATGTAAATAATGTAAATAATTACATTACAATACCTCATCTGAGAAATATAGACACATATTGATGGAAGTTCTTGTTGAAATTTTTTTAGATGAGGAGTTATCATTACCATTTGGATGAGCGTGCTAGTCTTGAATGATCTCACTGATCTAAATAGCATGGACTCTAATAAAAGAAGGAAGTTATTAAAAAGAGGAAATTAAAAATTTAAGCTGAGATTAATATTACATAGAAACATTTTTCACCCCAATGACTAACGAATAACTGCAGAACAACAGTATTATGATTGCCAGCAAGAGAAGCAGCCAAAAATAATGAGTTTTGAACTGGAGACATGAAAATCATGCATGTATATAAATTTAACTTTCTGAGTAATTTAATAATAGATGATGAAAGTGTGGCACAGAGATTTGAAGTCCCATCCGAATAGCAAAAGAAGCTTCCAGAAACTAAGCAAAGAATTAAGACTGTTGTATTGTCAAGGTGAATGATACACAAAGAATAATGAGTGCTTAATATATTTATTCAGCACCAATATCTGGTGCTAACTGATACATACAAAAAACACAGAACAATAAGTTACAAAACAATTAACAAGACAACTTACAAGGGATAGAGGAGGGTCAAATGCTGTATAGCCAAACAAAGTAAGATCAGTCTAAATATTAATCAGCTTATTAATCAACTGTTGAAGTCCTTAATCAAAGACTAAGACTATGAGCCTGGCCATCTGGTAGAGTGCTGAAGAGGTGCTAGATACTCTAGAACAAAGACATAGGAAATTTTCATTATTCCTTAGTTCCATCAGTTCTAAACTTCATGGCTAAGATCTGCCATGCCATGCACATTGTAATAAAACACCCTTGTTTTCTTCATATTCCATTGATAA